TTGGGATACTTGTTATAAGACGCATGTATCACTGAAGACATTAAAAATTATAGCCATTATTTTTATTCTCACGGGGCAAGATAACTCCAAAACACAATAATGAGAATAACAAATTAAAAAATTAATGTCATATTAGGAGTTACCAGGCCAGCTGTCTTCAGGTTGTGAATTAGACTGCAAGCTCCTTCATACCCAAGCACTTGGGCCAGACGGTAGAGCGACGGTCTCGCTTCCTGCAGGGCGGCGTTCAATCACCGACCATCCAAGTGAATAAGTCTTTCATGGAGGAAGAGGAATGATCACACTGGGAATTCTATCTCAATATAACACTCCCATTATTACTTAATTCTTCGCGATAAAGCACTAAAAACAGTACAAAACTGTTCATAGTAATTGAGAATAATAAAGTCAAACAAATTTGCACCTACCTCTCTTCATGTGTAAATATGCACCGAAAGAGGTGCCGTGACTATGAGCTGTGAGGGAGGCGGTAGGACGCCGCGCTACGGGGAGACGGTCAGCACACGGCGCTAGAGACAAGTGGACGTACCACTGTGCTCTCGCTTTAGACGCCATGTTTGTGCTTATATGACAGAGACTCGTGTCTCTCAGAGGTGCAAGTTAAGCAGCAGAGTCGTGCCGTAGAACGGATTAATCACGCATCGGACTGCCGCATTCCCCAAGCGTGAGAGAACGTGTCCCGGTTGTATAATTTATTTATTTTAATACTAGAGCTTAGTATGTTTAGAATTTCAACCGGGTTACGAAACATACCTAATAAATAAACCCCAGTAAACTTCTCTCAATCCTCATTAGGTACTATCTTAAATAGTCTTATAATGTCAATATAGTTAGCTGTAATAATTAGTATATTGTGAAATCTTCGCAGATCTACTGTGACGACGTGAGGGAGTATCCCACCGGTTAATAAACCAGCCCCAAACATTTTATGTGTATAGGGTATCATCTAGCAGGAATTAAACATAAACATGCAGTCCACTTTCTACAGTCCACTTACTCATAATAAATATAAATTTAAGTAAACACCTGCTAGGAATTCCTCACAAACATCACACCATGCAACGAAACATCCCACCATGCTACGAAACATCCCACCATGCTACGAAACATCCCACCACGTTACGAAACATCCCACCATGCTATGAAACATCCCTCCATGCTACGAAACATCCCACTACGTTACGAAACATCCCACCATGCTATGAAACATCCCTCCATGCTACGAAACATCTCACCACGCTACGAAACATCCCACCATGCTACGAAACATCCCACCACGCTATGAAACATCCCACCACGCTATGAAACATCCCACCACGCTATGAAACATCCCACCACGCTATGAAACATCCCACCACGCTATGAACCAGCTCACCACCAACACGTCTCCAAGCCACGCGACGAATTTGCTTCCCTCGCATCGAAACTTCTCCCGACTAATACAATGATTTGTTGCCCTTCACACACTCAGCTAATGAAGGACCAACATCCAAGTCGCGCTAAAATTGGACTTGGATAATGCCATATGCAGCACCCGCACAGCTGGATTTTCCAGATGTGCGGAAAATATGACAATTTCTGCGTTTAAGTTTTTCCAAACTGTCAACTGTTGAGTAGAAAGTTGGGCTATTGACTCACCAGGTAGGGAAGTGGGTCAACAAGATATACATTGCCAGCTCGGAGAGCGTAAATGGTTATGAACTACAAATTGTGCTCGTAAAGAGCAGTAGACCGCAGTAACGAGAGGTTTAACGAGTATGTGCCAGCTAGAGAGGTAATGAGGTGCTCGCATGAGAAGAAAATACCTAAATATACTTAAGCAAGAGGTCGTGAGTCACTCGGAGCTGGGAGCTGTTATGAGTCACTCAGCACTGGGAGCTGTTATGAGCAAGTTAGTGTGGGGTATTATCTTTCTGCTACAACACTATCCCCAACTTTGGTGTAGATGTTGCAATACATACGCTGGACAACTTTGTGTGAATGAGGTGGAAAATGCGATGAAAGTATTGCGAAAAGTTAGTCAACTTGACCTGAACTGGTGTCGATGAGAGCGCTTATTGAGCCAAATTTAAATCAGTTTAGCGAGGTATATGTAAAGATTTTGGTACAAGTGAAACACAAAGACTCATAATAACTTGTTTACCAACCGCTTATCATCCTTATATTCAAATTGAACAAGTTATATCGTCTCATCCTCGTGGAGCTCAATAACCTAATCGGTTCTAGTTTCTGGTTCCAACTCAAGGACGTAATCTCATCGTATTGAGAGGACATGAGAACGGGAAATGACAAATGGAGCTGGATGATGCTGCAGTGGATGGGAAAAGGACTGGAAGGAGGAGCAATAAACGCAACTTGCAGGACCTTAATGGACATTAAAAAAAGTAAAACAAGAGGTTATGAATGGAATCTAAAGCACAAATGTGCTACAGGGTGTAACAAAAAGTTATTTGGCATGAGAGTACAGAGCAAATGGAGTGAACACCCTTTCACCCTGAATGCCCCTGTTACCTAGCAGTAAATAGGTACCTGGGTGTTTGTCAGCTGTCACGGGCTGCTTCCTGGGGGTGGAGGCCTGGTCGAGGACCGGGCCGCGGGGACACTAAAGCCCCGAAATCATCTCAAGATAACCTCAAGAAGATAACACTCGGGAAGTAGGCTATGGAGGCAATCATCATGCAGACGCCTCAAGATAGATATCATAAAAATTATAGCAAGTTGAGTGTCATAACATTCGGGAAACTATATCTGAAAAGGCGTGGTACAAGATCTGACGAAGTTTATATACGAGATAATACAATGGGATCGAACTCACTTCCTTGGAAATTACAAGAGATATACTATACGTAATCAACCAACAACAAGCTATACATAGCATAACCATATGTACAACTTAATATTTATGGGGTTTGGAAGACTCCTGGCTGGTAAAAATTTCATATTAATCTCTCATACTTTGTTAATGGAAGTAATGTTCTCTATTTTCCGTCCCCTGCCGAAGGAAACTAAAAATCCGCTTACAATGTTTTCATATCAAAATTATATTTAGATTCGAGAATTTTTTATCATGTTTCTTCCACATATGCATGTTTAATTATGCACAATAATGAAGTATAATAATTAACTGGCAACGCAGTTTGCTTAGGGGGAAGGATAAGACTGAAGTGTTGCTTTAGTGAGAGGGAGAACAGCCATGTACAGTTTCCTCTCTCCCTCTCTTGCTCTCTCTCTCTCTCTCTCTCTCTCTCTCTCTCTCTCTCTCTCTCTCTCTCTCTCTCTCTCTCTCTCTCTCTCTCTCTCTCTCTCTCTCTCTCTCTCTCTCTCTCTCTCTCTCTCTCTCTCTCTCTCTCTCTCTCTCTCTCTCTCTCTCTCTCTCGCTCTCTTGCTCTCTCTTGCTCTCTCTCTTCCTCTCTCTCTCTCTCTCTCTCTCTCTCTCTCTCTCTCTCTCTCTGTATGTCTTTGTCTGGTGCAGAGCCTCCTCCAGAGAGGAGGCTCTGGTATAAAGGAATACTCAATGGAGTAAATCTCATAAAACTGGCTGAATGCGGCTGGTAGCTGCACCAAATCAAAAAACACAAATTTTATGCAAAAATCTCAAAAGTGTTGGTTTCTATCCTGTTCAAACGGACTCTTACTGAGATAGAAACTATGCTGGTTGATTTGTTAAAGTCAGCACCTGAAAGTATATATTAATATGTGATGAAAAAATATTACATATATTTGCATGAAATATATGAATCAATGGTAAGGAAATTTATGGAATGTGACAATAGAATTATATATATATATATATATATATATATATATATATATATATATATATATATATATATATATATATATATTATAGTTGCCCTTTTTTTCTAATACAGATTGTGGTATACAGCAGTGTTAGCCTGCCAGGGGAGAGCTCGTATTCTGAGGCTCTATTACCACTTACAAAATGCTGGCTTAAGCTTCCAGTTAATTTCTAGTACCTTCCCGATGGTGGGGGATGGTGGGCGAGCAGCCTGCAAGTCAGGCGTGGCAATAAGAAGAGAGATATATGTTGGGAGGCCGACGTCCCGTCACCATAAAGAGTCAAATGAGACCAGTCTCTGCCGTGTTCCGCCACGCTTTATGACCTCCAGGTAAAATATTGGTCATTGGATTAACGTGCACGCGCGTGTGTTAGTGAATGTATAATTGCCTAGTTGAGCTTATCTATTATTGCTCGTTACATACAGGTAGCGAGATGTAGCTCTTGATCCCTGCCTCCCAGACATTATTCCGGTAAATTTAAGATTCCTGACATTCCAATACTGTCTTTTGTTGCTGAAGCTGTGAATGGTGAATGCTTCCTCCACCTTTGACTCGCCATCTTTTCACTTGCCTATCACACTCATTATATATTAGTATTTCTTTACGTTTTTATGGCCTTTCTGTACTTCAATTACCGAATGTCTCATCGTTATGTTGTCCCTCACATAAATTAGACTAATTCCGTTGGCTTAAATTATTCCTCTCATTGGCGTGACCGCTGTGATCACATCGCATCTTATCTTTTCTTAGTAACGTGTTAGATTTAGTTACATAAGCATGATGTGATATCTTCTGTCTCATGTTTGGTACTTGTTTCGTGGCACATCTGTGGAGCTTCTCAATTTTGTTTTAGTGCTCTTCCAGGTTTTGGTTCCATTTGCGTGACACACGCTGCCTACACCAATTTTAGACTCTATGATCAATTTGTTTAATATATGCAGGCGATGAGTCACAATAACGTGACTGAAGAATGTTGACCAGACCACACACTAGAAGGTGAAGGGACGACGACGTTTCGGTCCGTCCTGGACCATTCTCAAGTCGATTGTGATGAGGGATTTGTTGTTGTTATAGATTCAGCTACTCGGAACAAGTTCCAAGTAGCACGGGCTATGGTGAGCCCGTAGTGGACTTACCTGGCACTTCTGCCACTACCCCACGGTGACCCCGATCCTCAGCCACTACCCCACCGTGACCCCGATCCTCAGCCACTACCCCACGGTGACCCCGATCCTCAGCCACTACCCCACGGTGACCCCGATCCTCAGCCACTACCCCACGGTGACCCCGATCCTCAGCCACTACCCCACCGTGACCCCGATCCTCAGCCACTACCCCACCGTGACCCCGATCCTCAGCCACTACCCCACGGTGACCCCGATCCTCAGCCACTACCCCACGGTGACCCCGATCCTCAGCCACTACCCCACGGTGACCCCGATCCTCAGCCACTACCCCACGGTGACCCCGATCCTCAGCCACTACCCCACCGTGACCCCGATCTTCAGTCACTACCCCACGGTGACCCCGATCCTCAGCCACTACCCCACGGTGACCCCGATCCTCAGCCACTACCCCACCGTGACCCCGATCCTCAGCCACTACCCGACGGTGACCCCGATCCTCAGCCACTACCCCACGGTGACACAGATCCTCAGCCACTACCCCACGGTGACCCCGATCCTCAGCCACTACCCCACCGTGACCCCGATCCTCAGCCACTACCCCACGGTGACCCTGATCTTCTGCCACTACCCCACCCTGACCCCAATCTTCAGCCACTACCCCACCATGACCCCAATCTTCAGCCACTACCACACCCTGACCCCTGCACGCAGACAGGTCACAAATGGTGCCTGGTAGAAGCCAATCGCTCGCTTCACTCACCCCTCCCAGTGCTGCTCCCACCCTAATTTCGCAGACGGCCGCACCTTCCCCCTCCCCCTCCCCTCTTTCCTAGCAGCAGATTGACCTCTGAACCAACAGGTCACAGCAGATTAGCACTGCCCACCCACCTCGATACCTGCAGACATTGAAGGAATGATCGCGTTACCTGCCTCCTCTCCTGGGGAACACTAACGAGAAAATGGAGAGAGAAGCGCGGTACTGAAGGGAAGATTGATAATGGAGCAGGAAGCAGAGTGTACAAAGTCGATCCATGAAAGGACAGAAATCTTATATCCATCACTCTGTTCTGTCAATCTGTCTGTCAACACCAGCAGCAACTTCTTTGTGGACCTGCCTATCCATTACTCATAATAATGATAAGATATTTGCGATAATATTAACGCAAGCAACGAATTGCCTCTCTATGGTAATGCAACTTTCTACAAAGCAGATTGTTTACAACTGCGTCTAAAGAGGCACGAAACTCCTCAAGACTCTTAGGTAAACTGATCTCACCAGCCAACATGTTCAGTGTCTCTACTACATTGCAGCTCCCACGGCTGTTGCACTTCGTAAGTCTTCTACTTCTTCTACATTGTAAGTCTTGCGCCTAATTTACATCATAAGTCCTTTATCTATTCTACATCGTAGGTCCTGCACTTATTCTGCATCATAAGTTCTGCAATTCCCCAACATTCTCCACCCTTGTCCTCCCCAACATTCTCCATTCCCCCGTCCCCTCATTCCTACCATCGCCAACTTCCCCGTCCCCTCGTCTTCCCCACCATTACCCCCTCCCCTGTCCCCTCGTCCTCCACACCATCCCTCACTCCCGTCCCCCCCCCCCGCTATTCCCCACTCCCTCGACCGATGCATTCCCAAATGATCTGATGTTCCCATCACTGAAATATAAGAAAAGCTGTTAAAAGACGAAATGAGAAAAATGAAAAATACAAAAAATAAACTATACTCACGAAATGAATGGAATGGTAAACAACACAGATCAATTCCAATGCAATGTCACACAAAATAATTAAATAAAAATGAAAATCAATAAAAATCTATGAAAACACTAATTATCAATGAAATTGGAAACATTGAAATTGAATGGTACTATATTTAGTATAGCGAAGGGGGGGGGGCTGCTCTTACGTGCACCAGATGGTGCTGTTTTAAAAGAAAAACATGTTTTTACCTGTCACAGGTGTGACATCTATACTTATACTCACAAAATGAACGGTACGGTAAACATCACAGCTCAATTACAACTCAATGAAACACAAAATAATTCAATCAAAATGGAAATAAATAGAAATCTATGAAATTTCAATTTATCAATACAATCGGAAACATTGAAATGGAATTGTAACATAATCTAGTATAGCGTGTATTGCTCTTACGTGAAACAGATGGCGCTGTTTCTTAAAAAAAGAATGATTTTACCTGTCACAGGTATGGCATCTATACTTATACTTACGAAATGAACGGTATGGTAAAACCACAGCTCAATTCCAATGCAATGTCAAACAAAATATTTAAAACAAAATGCAAATAAATCGAAATGCATGAAAATTCAATTTATCACTGCAACTAAAAACATTGAAATGGAATTGTAACATGTTTAGTATAGTGAATGTTGCTATTTTGAAAAAGCATGTTTTTATCTATCACAGGTGTGGAATCTATATAATAGGTATATAAAAAATCTGCGTATTTGTATGGGACGTTGTGCCAAAATTTCAAAGCAATCGGGGAAGAACTTCCGGAGATTATAGTATGTGTTGCTCATACGTCCAATAGATGGCTCAGTTTTTCAAAATCATGTTTTTTCCTGTCACGGGTGAGGTATGTATATAGTAAGTATATAAAATCACGCGCCTAAGCGAATGCAACGTTACCAATTTCTTTGAAATTTTGACATAAAGAGGTTTTGAAGATTTCCCCACACATGAAAAACACTATATAATATGCATTTCAAAACCAGCTCTGATGCAAATGGAACATTGTGTGAAAATTTCAAAGCAATCGGTGAAGAACTTTCGGAGATTGGCGATTTTGAACAAACGAACATTTCAATTTTTATTTATATAGATATAAATAAAAATGGAAAACTTCATTTGTACATAACCGCTAATCTCCGAAAGTTCTTCACTGATGGCTACCCTGAAATTACTATCTCTTTAAAGGTCTGAGTTTGGTGGAGTGGGTTAAAAGCGTACCTGTTATGCCAGTTGCTGTGAGGCTTCTGTGCTGGCTAGGGTTTGAGTCTCCTGGTGGGAAAGTGTTCTAAAGTTGAAAACTTCACTTGTGTGTTTAGGCAAGTTAGTGCATTAAGCATAGACACAGTGTTCTCCCATGTTAACAGGGACTATTATAATTGAATGTATTGTACAGGAATTAACCTTGATTACAACTGTTTACTCGATAACTGAGTATTAAATAATGTTCACAAGTTATTATGATTAGCTTCCATTTTATGGAGGCCGTCAGAGAATGATCCCAGGGACATGACAAGGAGGTACGCCTTCAGAAAGATCACCAAATATTACTATTCATTCCCAATATACATATATATCCTTAATTAACCGGTAAGACGCCTTTCATATTTTCCACCTTCCATACTGGCCGCTCTTCTGCCTTCTATTGACTAAATTATTTATATTTGAAATTTTTACATAAATAAAATTCACTATGGATATGTCCGCTATACAAATTACAAATTATTTATAGTACAGATAAGCCCTAAATGGAAGTTCCTTCGTTGATGTTAGTGGGATCCTCACATTCATGGACTGGGCTTATATTCCTCGCTATTGTTAATTGATCTGGATATTGTTTGGGCTTTACGTTATGCGTTGGGACGGTCCCGCATGGCCACGCTCACCGATAACACCCAGTCAAAAATGTTCAATATTTTGTGACAGAAGCTTTTAATTTCAATAACAATGATAATAATAATAATAAAATAATAATAATAAAAATAATAATAATAATAAATAATAGTAATAATAAAAATAATAATAATAATAATAAAAATAATAATAATAGTAATAATAATAGTAATAAAAATAGTAATAAAAATAGTAATAAAAATAGTAATAATAACATAGGATAATACCCACACTTACGTATTTGTGAAATTTATTGAGAATGATGATTCTAAGTAAATTAATATTAGATATTAATAGATGGATAAATGAAAGTAAGAAAATTAGCCACGTTCCTCTGGGTACAGAGGGAGTTACACGGGATGACATGCAGACGGCTATCTGTATGAATAACAACTCCAGTACTCTTATATCAGGATTACAGAAAGGACACCTGACGATAATTCCATAGACGACATCACCGCAGGTGCATCTGTAGTCAGGAGTAGTGGTGATAAGAAGGATAAGAGGATTAAGATTGACCCAGGATAGCAACCTCATTAGACGTTGGGATGTAAGTCTCGTCCTAATCACACACTCAGACCTTGACAAAGCACTCAGGAGAGTGCTAAAGACTTGGTGTAATTTCTGTACATCACTTTCACAAATAAATAAATGTGGCTTTTTATCCTCAATAATAATAAGAATAGTATTATTATTTTATTTTTTGACTATGGGGACAAGAAAATGTTTTGAAAGAGAAGCTCTTGCATGGCATCTTTGATTTATTTATTATCTGAAGACAGAGAAACAGCTCTTATATAGTTATATTGACTGAGCGCTCTCTGTTGATAACACCCTCACCTTCGACTCTCTTCACCCAAGCACTGAGAAACTTCAAACTTTTGCGATCACTCATGACATTATCTTCTCGCGGAAATGGAATCGGTGGGCAAGATTGTCTTCGGAGTATTCAACACCACGGAGGTCGAGGTAGGCGATTCATCAGTTTGGGATTATTCGTTTGTGACACTTATAGTAGGCCAAAGTGGACTTATAGTAGGCCACTTTGGTGCCCCTGACAACTGAGTGGACAGCGCTTCGGATTCGTAGTCCTGAGGTTCCGGGCTCGATTCCCTGTGGAAGCGGAGACAAATGGGCAAAACGTTTCTTTCACCCTGATGCCCCTGTTACCTAGCAGTAAATAGGTACCTGGGAGTTAGACAGCTGCTACGGGCTGCTTCCTGTAGGTGGAGGCCTGGTCGAGGACCGGTCCGCGGGGACGCTAAGCCCCGAAATGATCTCAAGATAACCTCATGATAAGGCCAGCCATTGGCCTAGGGGCCCGCGCAGGAATATACCTTCAAAAAAAAAAGTTCGACAATTGAATATTCGAGCTGATATTTTATTAACACGCTATAAAAGCTATCTTGAAGATAGCCAAACATATTTGTTCAGGAAACGGAAAACTTCTGTGAGAGTATCAATTTCAAGCACTAAAATACATATATTTTAAACAAATATTCTAATCCACTTTCAAGTCACGAATTGAATTACGGTTGATTTAATACGAAAATATCTCAGCATTTTATTTCATGTCACGAAGGAGCTTTTCAAACATCTTAAATGTCGTGGAAACATGATAGGTAATATCTCACTCCCAGCTAAGTAGCTTCCACAAACTCCCCCAAAATACGCAACAATCTTGCATGCTTATTCTGCCATTGAGTGATATTGCTAGCGGTGAAGGAAGGACTCGAGCAAGGCTGATGTGAAGCAACACAACAAATACTTGCGAGTTGTATTTCTGCGTAAGAACCTTGTAGGCCACTGGGAGTGCAGGCAGGGAGGGCAACCCCTAACCAGAGGATTATGGCTCATGATGGGAGCTAAGCTGGCACACTGTCGTCCTACCCAGCTCACTAGTAACTTTATCCCCGGCAATAAAACATATTGGCTCTGGGATTGTTCTGTTTCACAGTACGACTCCTGCTCTCTCGCGTCGCTGCGACCTCTCAATTTATTTTTATGTTGTAACTCTCTTTTTTTTCTCTTTTTGTCTTTATATGTATTCGCCTATCGCTAATG